AGGGGTTGGCAATCAGCGGGGGCCCATGCGCGGGCGCCGTCATCTTCAGCCCCGCGTGCCCCCTCGCAGCGCTTATATGGCGACTCAAGGACGCAGCCGCCTGCGGCGCGGCGGGGGCATGACAGTGCGGGGCTCGGACGCGGGCAGCGGCGCCCACCACTGCACCAGCCTCAGCCGCAGCCCCGGCCCGGGCCGCGCAGCAGCGGAGAGCCGGGGCGCTGGTTTGCATATACACAATGCACGCCCGAGGCTCGGCCTATCACCGGGCTCCGGGCTGGGCGAGGACAGGCGGTGGGGGCACGGGGCGGGGGAGCGCCGGGGAGAAGCGGAGCACTTCGCCTCCCCGAGGCTGGGACCCGGAGCCCTTGCAAAGTTCCACCAACTCAGTCCGCGGCGGGCGGGTCACCCAGCAGGGGGACCCCGGGGAGGGCCCGCTGCGGATTGGAGCAAAGTTGCAGCCCTCTCCGCCTCCCAGCTCGGGATGGTAGTGGGAGGGGAATGGTATGCAAAAGCTCCGCGCCCTCAAAGCTCAGCTGGTTCCCACCCTGTCTCTGTCACCTGGCCGCCTGAGCCAGGGTTTCCCAACTCCAAGAAGCTTTTATGGGGAACACCAAACCAGAGGCTAGGGGACAAACGAAGGCCAAGTATACAAAGAGGTAAAACAGAGCAGGCTCAAGTACATGGGAATTAGCACCTACTTTAAAAATACCACCAGTGAAATTTAACATTGCAAGTGCACACACGCCAGGAATGCAACAGTTTCCTACAAGCAGTATCCACTTTACTGTATGACATTCTTGTGCAACTGCCACCTTTTTTGACTTTTACAGCCTGTTTCTATAGAGCAATAGAAAATAATTGATGAAACCCATTCAACTACTATTTAAAAGTTCATCTATTTGCAAGCAACGTGTAACGGTCTCCAAAATGAAAAAAAAAATCTATAAGAATATAAGTGCATTTCAATATCACCAGTCAAAATGAATTATACTCACTTTATAAATGTGCAGACTCTGACCTTTAACAAATGCGTCTCTCCTCATACATCTCATAGATAGGTGTTCTCTTTTATGACGCTAAGCGATGTCTTATTTTCAGTGTGATCTTTCTCAGAGAAAATGTCAGTTTTTATGTCAAATGTACTGATGTTAGAAACGGAATTGAGTCTCTCCCCCCCCCACCCACACACACACACGGGTAAACTCTTCTGCTGAATCCCTAACCCCAATGGAACTGCATTCAGAAAAAGAGCCTTTAAGGAGGTAATGAAGGTTAGATGAGTCCTGATCTGAAAGACCTGATGTCCTTATGGGAAAAAAAAAAAAACACAGAACACACTAGAGCTCTGCCTCCTCTCTGCCCTGACTCAGAGCAAAGGATCTAATGAGCAAGCGAGAAGGCAGCCGTCCACACGCCAGTGAGAGCGGTCTCCCCTAGAATCCACACCAGCCACACCTGGAACTGCAAAAGAGTAAATTTGGTTGTTTGGCCACCTAGTCTGTGGTATTTAGGTTCGGCAGCCCTAGCAGACCAACACAGATGATTGCTAATACTTACATAACTCTGTGTGTGTGTATGCATAATTACAGGTACACACATGTACATGCATACACATTCACACACATTCAATCACACAAACCATAGTAACTGGACAAGAGCTAAATATTAAAAATATATTTATTAAGACCTTGCACGATTTGGACTTTAAATGGTATTCTTTGTAGTGAGAAAATGTTCCTATCAGTACGATATAAAACAATTCACCTTAAATGTTTATTGTTGCCTTTCCCCACATAGACACGGTGGTCGGATCCTTTCCTGTGTTCTAGACTCATCTATTTAGCTTCTTTCTATGTAACTCCAACTGATCCCAACTTTTACGTTTCTACTAACTCTCTCCCCTCATCTCCTTATCTCTGTTGCTACAATCCTAAGTTCACTCAGCATCTCTTACCAGACTCCTGCAACAAGCCCCTATCTGATTTCCAGGCCCCTCATTGAACTCTCTTCACAATTTATATTCTTTAATGATTCAATCATTTTGAATCCAATTAAAAGAAATTCACGGTATCCACATGTTGGCAATTGTAAATTGAGCTATGATAAACATTCTGTACTCAATTGTATTATGAAGCCAGTAGATGATCTAACTCATACCCACATAGGAGAAAAACTTAATTCTATTCAAATTGGGGGGCAAGGGAGAATAAGGGAGGGCAGAGAGGAGAGGGGGGATTGGTGTGCTAAACTTAAAGGGCACAAAGTAGGGGTGTATGGCACACCATTTGGGCGTGGGATACACTACAAGGGGGATTCCACCTAACAAATTAAAAGTTCGTGACCTGGTGGTTTGTACCATCACAATAAACCTGAATTTAAAAAAAAAAAAAATTCACAGTAGTTCCCAATGGTTCACAGTCCCAATTTTATAACTTTAAAATTCTGTGCATGTCACTATCTCCTGCAACCGCTCAGCAGCTATCTGAGTTAATATTGCCTGTTCTAGGAAGGAGCCTTAGCGTCTCCTACCACCATGTCCTCTTACAAGTGCACAGAACATCAGCACCAAAACATCCCTCATGTTCTTCACTTGGTAACTTCTCCTAGTTCTTCTAGGAAGTGCCATGTGAAACATCCAGTGAAGACCAGCTTTGATGCCTCTGTTCTTGGCAACCCCACAACTCCATGAGTATTACTGTCGTCATCGTACTAATAATCAACTACTTGGTTTGAAATGGTTTACTTGCTTATCTCTCCAACATGACCAAGGCTGCTTGAGAGCAGAGACTGTGACTTTTATCTCCACTTTCAGTTGTATTATGCCTGGCTAAATAAACATTCACAGAATAAGCAAAGTAGAGTAAGGGGAGAGAAAACTATGTGAAGAGATTGCAGACTCACAAGATTGAAATTAGTGAAGGTTAGAACATAAAACCCGAATCAACTCTGTTTCAGGTCTTGTATTATATGTTAGAATGAGAAGATCCTTGTGATCTTAAAAAAAAAAAAAGGTCCTAGAGTATAAAGTAACCAAAAGAGGCCGTAGAGCTAGTTTTTGAGGACAGTCCATCCTCAGCATCAGACCTGCTATTCCAACACTTAATGCCTCCAGCTTTTTTTCCAAATAATATATCTGTAGTTAATTATTTTTATACAATTATGAGTTCAGTATCTGTCTCCATGACTAGACAGATGGCAGAGTCATTTATCTCATTCCCCTCATATCTAACCTTTAGATGATGTTTAGCCTAGATTTTTAAACTGAGAGAATAAAGCCAGAACTAGATTTAACACGTCCATACCCTCAATACCACAATTTCCATGTGCCTCACCTGGCTTGTAGTGTATTGCCAATATTTATTATATGACAAACATGTGGTGTTTGGATACAAATATGTCATAGGCATAAAAATTTGAAGGTGTTTGGCAAAATATTCCTACAATGCACATTTTCTCTTGATACCTTCTTTTATTTCTATATTATACTGATAGAAAAAGAATGATAGAATAAAGATAAATTCTGGCCAGAATTAGAATTTAGAAGAATGGCGAAAACAGAGAAAAAAGATAGCCGGTCAAAGGCCACAGTCTTAGCAGGAACACCAAATAAAATGAGGATAATTCCTATGGAGGAGTTCTAGAAGGAAACTAGATGTATCTGAATTCCCTTAGGTAAATAGTTGGGATTTTAGAATGAAAAAAATAATCAGAAGGATCATCAGTTCAAAATATCTTCTTTCCACTCTGGGAGGCTGAGGCGGGTGGATTGCTTGAGCTCAGGAGCTTGAGACCAGCCTGAGTAAGAGCGAGACTCTCTAAAAATGGCTGGGCATTGTCATGGGTGCCTGTAGTCCCAGCTATTCTGGAGGCCGAGGCAAGAGGATCACTTGAGCCCAAGAGTTTGAGGTTGCTGTGAGCTATGATGCCACAACATTCTACCTAGGGTGACAGAGTGATACTCTGTCATAAATAAATAAATAAAATATCTTATTTCTCAAATAAGCAAATATATGCTCTGATTAAAATCTCCCAGAAAACTGGTAGCAGACATAAATCCAAAGTTCCATGTCTCTTAACTCAGTTCTCTTCCCTTCACCCTAAAATAAGGACATAGAGGCAAACACATATTTATATTGACATGCACGTATTACACATATACACATGAGTGTGCATACTCAGACATGGTATTCATGCACATACATACATATACACATGCAAGAAGTTTTTGATAAGCTCATCCTTTACCTAAGTTGGAGCTACAGAAAAGAAGCCATGGGGGCTGGAGTGGATCAGGTCAATTGTATTTAACAAGAGGAATTCACTCAGATCAGAGAATGCGATCTGTAGCTGATGTACTCACTGTCATGTCTACTAGGTACACGTGTCACAATTACTTGGAAAACAGAGTAATGGCATGAGATACCCTTTCACCTTTTATCCTTCTTTCACACTATTGTACCTTTTTACTGGTTCATTTCTGATATGGATCCTGTTACTAAATGACATTAAATTCTCCCACCTTTTCCGATCACAGGATTGATACTTTTGTCATTATACTTTTGCTCCCCCAACCAGATTCCCCAAAATATTCCTAAATGTTCCATCTGGAATTTAGTAAGGTGGAACCTCCAAACAGATTTTGTTTGCAGGAGTATCTTAAAGAGGGTTGTCCCAATATCTTTAGAATAAGATAGAGAAACAAAGGGAGAGCTTTTTTTTTGAGTGATGACAGTCAGGTCTGACTTTAATGTTGAGTCCCCGTTTAAGAGAACATCTTCCCTGTAATACATGCAGAGGGACATCTGAATTTACATATGCAAATCCTTGCAGCCACCATATAGCTGACATTTGGCCAGGCC